ATCCAGATATCACATGATAAAAAATGCATAAAGTACAACCCAAGGAAGATTAAGAAAATCCCCATTTTTTTTCAAATATTCTCTATAAATTAATGAAGTCTCTATATTAATTCCATTAAAACTAAAGCTAACCAAAATATAGACCACCAATTCATACCAATAGAAAACGAAGTATTTATAATCACAACTATGAGGATGCATAAAATCAAGAGCCATTAAATTAATAAAAAATTAGGTTGAAATTTAATAAAAAAATTAAACGCATCAACTTGTGCTCATGATCTAGAAACATGTTTTTCTTATTTTATTCCTTGGAATATTGCGTCACTTAATACTTATGTGAAAATTCGATCGGAATACTTATTTAATAAACAATTGAAGTCTAAAATCTGTCAATTACATCACAGTTAAAAAGTTCAATCGAATACCTTACTCACTCGTCGCTTCTTCTCTTTCTAAGCCACAATAAAAGTATCAGGTGGCAAAATCTAAGCGTTATTCTTTATAGCAAATAAAATCCACTTTAGTCTTCAGTTTAGATCTGAGTTAAAAGAGGAGGGAGACCGCAGTGAAGAAGAGGAGTGACGCCAGTGGAGGTTGCGACTGGAGGAGAAGGGCAGTGGTGATGGATTTTGGCCAGACCTAAGAGTTATTCCCGGTGGCTAATAGACTTCAATTTAGATCCAAGTTGTTAGAGAAGGGAGACGACGGTGAAAAAGAGGAGCGACGGCAATAGAGGTTGCGACCGACGGAGAATGGCTATGGTAGTGGATTTTGGCCGGTGGTAGAGGCAGCAAAGGGGAAAGAAAGGACTGGGGATTTTTCTTAAAATACCTATGGAAATTGGGTAGTAATTTATTCTATTTACAATAATATCACCATATATGATCTTTTACCTCTCTCCATCTCTCTCTCTCTCTCTCTATATATATATATATATATATATATATATATATATATATATTATATATTATATATCACAAGAAGAAAAAGATTATATTTTATCTGCTAAGAAAACTATTATAAAACAAGAAAATAATCAACAAATACAAACGTTTGAAGATGATATGGTCAATACTTTAATTTTTGCTATTATCAAAAACTTTGTAGGAGATCCTACTACTTTTCAAGAAAAAACTTCAGAAATTTTAATGAATTTACATTGCAGAAAACTTACTGATTTTAGATGGTATAAAGTAATTATCTTGTTAAAGTTTTTTCGAGACCTTAATTGTAAAGAGTCTTATTGGAAAGAACGTTTTATTGCTGGCCTTCCAAAACTTTGCAGAAAGAGTTAGACAAAAAAATTAAGAGAAAATTTAATAATACATCCCTATCAAAATTTAACTTATGGAGATTTAATAAACTACATTAATAAAGAGGGATTAGCAGTGATCTTAGATTTAAGGAAAAGCTCAAAAAAGATAGAATTAACAGTAAAAATGAATTGGGAAATTTTTGCCAACAATATGGTTATTAGCCCTTGAATGGTCCGTCTACTTCAAAATCTAAAGTATATAAGAAAAGATCTTCAAAATATTTCAGGAAAATTATAAAAAAGGCCAAGATTATGCTTCAAAATCTAAAAAACCTATAAACTTATAAACCATTATAAAAAATCTAAAAGAAAATCAAAAGATATTATTATCTGTCATAAATGTGGGCGTAATGGTCATACAGCTAATAATTGTTATGCTAAGACAAAAATAAACGAGTTAAATGTTTCTGATGATTTAAAAGAACAAATAAGAAAAATTATTTTAAATACTGATTCAGATTCCGAAGAAAGTATTTCTGATTTTCAAACAAATGATTTAAATATTCTCGAAAATACTACTTCAAGTTCAGAAGATTCTGATATTTGCGAATGTATTGGTAAATGTCATTGTAATAATTTAATCAATGTAATTACTAGTAGATGTTCAAAGTCTCTAGATTTTCAGATAATTCTTTCTCCAGATGTATGTATTGATTGTAATTCAAGCTTAATTCAAGAAGGTACTATCTAAAATATTTTATTCAATTGTTGTATTGTTGTTATTAAATTTATTTCTCCATGATAGTTTCATTTCGAGTTATTCTAACTATTAATTCTACAAGATTTGAAATTTTTGTTAAAATAGTACTCGTTTTTAATAATCAAATTAATCAAATTCATGCTTGAATTATTTAATTATGTCTAACAAAATCTTGATGAATTGTATTCCTAATAGAGATATTCTTTTAAGAATACAACAAATCCAAGAATCTATAAATAATTCTGAGCAAAATCTCAAGGATTCTTACAAACCTACTAATCTAGGTACGATTTTAAACAATAATCATATTCATGATACTAGATGGCTCATAAGAGCTAGTATTAAAATTCGTTACAAACAAATATGTTATCTAAAAACAAAACTATTTGTTTTCTAAAAATGACATTTATTTGTTCTAAAATGTGTTAAATAATGGTATAAATAATCTTTTTCTTCTTGTGAAATATAGAAATCCCACCATCCTTTAAGACTGCCAGTAAAACCAGAAGTAATAATATTAACAATTTGAAGTTGAGTATTATTATGAGCTTTATAAGCATTAGCAGCCCTATATAGTCATTTCTTGTACAATATTCATAATTTGATGTTCAGAATGGCCATCAATATTCCATTCATAAACAAAATTACCATCATATTGAGAACGATCAAATTGAAAAGTTCGTTCTTCAAGTTGAACATCTGGAAGAGAGGGTCTATTCCAATAATTTCTTATGGTTGGCTTTGGATTCTTTCCGAAAGTGCTTCGCTTTGATTGATGAATTTTATTAAGATTTGAAAAGTCATTAGTGAGTTGACTAATATCATCATTTGAATTAATAAATTGTTGAGCAAGAGTTTCAAAATTTGTTTCACTATTAATATCACTATTTTCAGATTCATCATTTGTAAGAGTATTAATACTGTTAGTGTTTGAGATATGAAGTTTTGAAAGTCTTTTTTCTAATTCGTTAATTAAATATGTATTTCCTAGATTAAAATTACCATCTATTTGACAAGGAACAAAACTTATATTACTAGTGCTTGCCATATCTTGCTTATTAACATTCTTATCTTTGAAATTTTTTCCTTCAATTTTAACTAAATGCTCGGTAATACTAGATAAGGTTTCGTTTGCATAATTATTTTGGTAAATAATTTTTTGAAGACCCTTTTCAGTAGTTAATTGATTTGGGGCTTGAACTAAAGGAGTCGCAATAAACATATCGTTAATAATAATTTCTCCTTTTGGTGGAAAATTAACAATAATTTCTTTATTAGAAATAATATCTTTATATTTTTTCTCTAAAATGGGAGTGATAGAATCATTTTTAAATGGGTAATTTATTTTATGTTTAGGGGCATAAATTAATTCAAACCATTGAAAAAAAGAAGAATGAATTTTATTTGATAAAACATAATCTTCCCAAAGGCCTAAATGGAGAAATCTTAAGTAGTATGAAAAATTTTCTTCGTGCCAAACTCTTTTTTTATTATTGTAATCTTTATAATACTCAATATTTTTTAAGTAATCAAAATCAACTTGATATTCTAAATTCGAGAAATTCATTTTAACAGTTTGTTTTTGTTAGGATTGAAGAAATATGTTTTATTGACTCTAAATTATGACTTCGTGATTTTTCGTATTTTTTTATTCCTATTGTTAGCCTAAATTTTTTTTCTATTTGTTTATTATATTTATTAGTATATGAAAGTATTTTGTATAAATTATAATCTTCATGAGTTCTAGTTTCTTCTAAATGTTGAATGGTTTTGCATATATTAGAATTTATCTTCCTGTCTTTTTAACATATTAGCCCAAAGCTTATTATTTTTTGAACAATTAATTTGTACTTTAGAACTCATATTTGTTGGTTGTTTAAAATTTTGAAGTTCATCAATAAAATCTGATTTAGTAGGACTAGGAAGACTATTTTCACTATTTTGATCATCTTGATATAATGGTTTGGGAATAGAATTAGTATAGTCAACAATTTTTAGTTTTAAAGATCTTGACTTTGATATCAAAGATTTTGAAGAGCCTGTTTCTGGGATAAAAGAAGTTGATAATCTGGATGATGAAATATTTAAGGAAGAAAAATTTATATCTACTGAACCATCATTATATTCTATAATATTTGAGATTTGTTTTGAAGAGTCTAGTGGTTTTGGATCGATAACATTTTGTAAGTTCCAATTACATGATTGAGTTATGTCAGACCATTTTAATCTTTTTGGTGTGTGAACTTTGGTATGGTTAGTATTTGCTTCAAAAATAATTGTTTCATTTTTAGGACTTGATAAACGTGTTTTCGATTCAAGTGTAGTTGTCATAGTTTTGTAACAAACACGATAAATTATTGTTAAAGGCTTTCTATCATCTTTAAATTCTAAATTTTTTGTTTCTACAGTTAACACTAAAGTATCTAAAATATTTTTATCAAATAATCCTACAGAAAATTTGGATAACAATTGAAATAAATAGGTCCGTTAGCAATATTTGTTTCAGCCATAGCTAAAATAGAATTTTGAAAATCTTTATGTCTATTGTCTCTTAAAATAAGGAGAACAAGGGCATCTATTCCAAGTCTAAATAGAGGCTTGATAGCAATTTGGACTAAACCGACATGTAAAAATTTATATTTCATTTTATGCTCTAGAGTAGATCGTGATGATAATAAATGTAAATTTTGTTGGTTTTGACCAATAGACAAAGTTTGTTCTGTCATTTTAATAGAATAACCTTGAAAATAGTCAAAAGTTCCTAATTTATATATTGTATTAACATTAGTTTTAGGTATTGTCCAATTATTCAAACTTTGTTCTATGCTATTAACGGTTTCTTCAATAGAATTTATTTGATTATCATAATCTTGTTCATTGTCGATATTTTTACCAGGAATATATTTTTTGGATAGTATGTCTGAAAATTTACTCATATTTAATTATTTTTGCTTTAAAATTCTATAAGAAAACTTACTTGTTTTAATAACGATGAACAGAGGCGAATCGTCCCGACGATGATTGTGGTCCGGCACCGCGACTGACGTCCTTATCTGCGCGTTTTACGCTAATCCAACCAATCACTGGTCTTGTCTCTGAATCATACTTATTAAAACTTATAAATTTCTTAGAGAATATTAAACCCAAATTAAATAAATTTGAAATAAATATATCATGCATAACCACCCCAAAAACTTATTATATATATATATATATATATATATATATATATATATATATATATATACACACACACTAGGTGAAAACCCGTGGAACCCACAGGTGTAAATGTTAAATAAAATTTAAAATTTAATTATGTAATAAATAATATATCATTAAGTTAGAAGACTTATATTGTATTTTTTTATAACGTTTTGATTTGTAAGTATTTAATTACACAATAAATGGTAAGTATTTAACTACAAATGAAGATTTTTAAAACCCTTACTTTTTACTTTTCCTTTATCGTTCATGGTGATTGCACGTTAGGTTAATAGAAATTGTTGCTGTTTTTGTCTTTTTTTTCAAAACTTTACCTTGATTTACTGCGTCATGTGTTTCTTTTTTAGGCTTACTGGCTATAACCTTGAAATCCGTTCAATGTTGGCGTTTTTCTTAGGATATGTTCTCTATTTTTAGTAAATTTGTAAACTTTAAGTATTTAATTACAAATGTAAATCCACATATTTTATAAAAGTCATTACTTTATATAATGCAACATACGTTTAAGTAACGACAAAAAAACCCAAAAAAAACATCGAAATTTATTTCATACAAAACAAAAAAAAATGTCTGTAATGAATGAAATTAACATAAAACAAAACAATACGTAATTATAAATAAATAAGTTATTATGATGGATGAAATGTACTTTGCTAAAAATGAGTAAAAGATGTTACAAAAAAGTTGGTTATAGATTGCGAAAAACTTCCTTATAAACAACATTGGAAGTTTTATTTGTGAGTCTACCATATTTATCTAAAATTAATAATTTCAATCCCTCTCTGCTTTGAACTCTAGATAACGTAACATACAATTGCCCATGTGAAAAAACCGGATCTTTGAGAAACAAACCAACCTTCGATAATGATTGTCCTTGACTCTTATTAATAGTCATTGCAAAACATACCGCCAAAGGAAACTGTCTTCTTGTGAATTTGAAGGGAATTTTTTTTTCTGATGGAGTTAAAGACATTCTTGGAATAAAAGTCCGGTTTCCAATATTAGTTCCAGTTATTATACGTGCCTCGATAACACGTTTGCCCAATGATATCACCTGTAGTCTTGTGCCATTACATAAGCCGTTTTTCTGATCAATATTTCTCAGTAACATTACTGGAACATCAATTTTTAAAACTAACTTATGATTTGGTAGACCGGATACTTTGAGACCATTTAATACATCAGGAGAGTATAAATTTGCATCAAACTGATCATGGACAAATTCGGACTCACATATGCTATCTGAACTTAAATATTCAACCTCATCTCCTGGAAACTTCTTAAGCAAACGGTCGTTTATTTCCTGAACAACTTCATTCTTTGGAGCAAGTATCGCTCTTTCTTGGAAATAATCTGTACTGCTATACTTCTCCAAAATTGAAGGATATACAAACTTAATTAATGAACCTATAAGATCATCTGGATCATTAATGAGAATATCATCCGGAATATCAATAATCGTTTCGCCGTCGTTCAGACCACCGAGTCTGCCTTCTCCTATATCCAATAACAAATTTGCAAAATCTCTTATTTTTTTCTATATCAGGTTGATCCTTTCCAACAGTTAGCCTCATGTTTTTTGTTAATCTATACACTTTGCAATGTTGCCATAAATATGATGAACTCAAAGAATCTGTCTGAAATCTCCTCCAAAGACAATAACTTTCCTCCAAAAGGAATATTTGAGATGCTAGAATTTCCACACCTTAATACATCTTTCAAAGTTCGATCTAAAGCTTCAAATGCATGCTTATGGATCATAGGTGCTTCATCCCAAATTATCAAAGAGGTTTTTCTTAATAAGCTAACCAACTCACCATCTGGATTTATTTTACAAAAAGAATCCTCTGTAAGTTCAAATGGAAGTATAAATCGAGAGTGTGTTGTACTACCGTCGGGGCAATAATAACGAAGCAATACCGCTTGAAGCAACATTTAAAACAATATTACCGTCAGATCTAATTGCTGCAGATATTGTCTTCCAGAGAAAAGTTTTACCCGTTCCACCATAACCATAAACGAAGAAAACACCTCCTTTATTTTCTTTAACAGCACTCATGATGTTAAGGAAAATGTTACGTTGCTCATTTGTTAATGCAAGAAACATACGATCAAAGTCATTCTTTATAACGGGAATGTCGTAATCTAGCTCATCAATGATAAGTCGATTGCTCGAAGAAGAAACTGATTCAACATTTGGGTAAGTCATTCTTTATTTCGAATTTTTTGAGAGTGGAGTTATTTCGAAGTAAGTTCTTAACTTCATCTTCACTGAGTAATAAGTCTGCACCATAAATTTTAAATTAACTACAAAATATAAAATACAATATTTAATAATATTTATAATAATTATTTAATGGGTGTTGATAAGAAAAATAAATTATTTTAAATAGAAATGAAGAAAATAATTGAAATACCTGGAGACTTGAACCTTTGTCGTTGGTTATATAGAATTCCATCCGCCAAATATTCCCATGTATTTTCCCAAACAGCCTCTGGTTTAGACATACTATGACACATCAACAATGTGGCAAATAAGAAGCGTAGATAAAAACCAGATCCAGAATGGCTTGCTTTTTTAATTGCATCGATGTATTCCTTGTCATCATCTAATAGCCCGAGTGCAAAACAAGCATCTCTAAAAGAAGCATATGTTTGACGGTTTACCGTGCGAATTTCATCAAATTACGTCGGACCTTTAACTTTATTTAAAAGAATCCTTAAAAAATAAGCTTCGCCAAGATTAGGTGAAACCGAATGAATTCTACCAATGGCTTTTCCTACTTTCCTTCGCTTCCAAAACCGACCATTTAATACCCAAACAAACTTTGTAGGAAATTTAACATATGTAAGATCTCGTGCTTCACTATTAATTGCATTACACTCCATCCAAGATGTGAACTTTGAAGCTGCAACAGAAGGTTTGTCCAGAACATCGTCGATATCATCGTCTTCGCCATATACAATCTGTTGTTGATTAGGAAGATGAAAAGGTAGTCTAACCACAGAAGGATACCTGCAATGAACATCATATTTAAATATTCGCCATGATGCTTCACATGCAGATAAATATCTACAATCGTAATATTCAGCTATTTCATCGACCGCATCATTATTTTCATATTCATTGTTTGTTGGTACAACAACAACTGTAGCTCTATCAGGACCCTTGTTTATTGTAACTCCCCGTTTCTGGTACGTATTTAATTCATTAAATGTCATTTTATAAGATCTACTCGACGAGTTGTAGCCCTAACTCGTCGAGTAGATGCCAGGTTTGGACGCGGGTTTAAGTGACCTACTCGGCGAGTCCACGTCCTGACTCGACGAGTAGGCCAGTCTGGGGGAAACCCTAATATTTAGGGTTTACACCCTATTTAAGCAACATTATAGGCCTCTTGTCCAGCCTCCATCACCTCCAGAACAGTAATCCCAAAACCCTAATCCTCCATAAGTGAACTTGAGCTTTCTTTGTGATTTTGAGAGTTATTTGGTGTATTTGAAGCTTGTGAGAAGAAGAGGAAGAAAGAGGACTTCAAGAGAAGATTGTAGATCCAGGAACAACATCAGCTTCTCTTCACTTTCTGGTAATCAAGCCTCATACTTGACTTGTAGTTTCTTAGATCTCCTTGTGGTCATCTTTATGAGGTTTTGGGTCCAAGGAGCTTGATCCTTGGGACTTGGACGTCCCAATTCGATTTACACATAGATCTAGAACCTTGGAGGGTCCTCATGGCATAAAGGTGCCATCTTTATGGCCATGAGAACCCCAAGAATGAAATAATCCCCATTTTTGGTCCTTTGAGCATAAAAGTCCCATGCATGAACATAAAGTTCATGGCTTTACGTGTTATACCGATCTTAGGAGCTTAGATCTACCTTCTGGATAAGTTTTGCACATCAGAAATCGAATTATTGGACTTGGACATGCATGGAATCGGCGAGTCGTTCTTGGGACTCAGCGAGTCGTGAGTTGGTTTCCAAAACTGTTATGACTCAGAGGAACCCATTTTAGTTCAGAAGGGATTTGGATGAGCCCAGGAAAGGGACTCAATGAAATGGACAAAGCCATGGATCTGGAAACCATGGGACTCGGCGAGTGCAGGAACGTACTCGGCGAGTCCAAGGTCATCTCCTAACTTATGAAGATGGACTCGACAAGTTGTTCATACAACTCGACGAGTCACAGACTAGACGCGATCATATGATGAAGATAAACTCGACGAGTTCAGGAGGAACTCGGCGAATCGGATGAAGATTTGTCCCGATGTTATGATTGAAGGAGCACTCGTCGAGTTCTTGCTAAACTCGACGAGTAGAGTCGGATTGAGGGCAGATGAAAGAATTGGGACTCGGCGATTTGGCGGGCCAACTCGGCGAGTCAGGTCAACTGGAATGTTGACTTTGACCAGAATATTGATTTTGTCCAAGGGTGAAATGGTCACTTCACCCTGAGATTTAGTTATCAGTTTTTGACTAAGTGTCATTGTGGGAATTATAGCCGGGGAGTCGCCGGAGCAGCAGCCAGATAATTCTCACTCAGGGTTTCAGCAGTCAGGCACACGAGGTGAGTGTCCCTTCGGTAGGAACGGGTCTAAGGCACCAAGGTCGGCCCGCAGTATGAGTTTATTATTAGTTAAGTGTGGGCGGGGCCCGTACCTCTTAGTTAGTTGAGTGTGGGCGGGGCCCGTATCTCCTAGTAGTTTGGTTGCAATACGATTCATGATTAGATGATAGATTTAGTATACTTGTTTCTGTGTGATACTTGTATGTCAATGTAGTAGCTGAGTGTGGGCGGGGACCGTATCTCATAGAAGGCAAGTGTGGGCGGGGCCTGTATCTTAAAGATAGCAGAGTGTGGGCGGGGCCCGTATCTCCAAGTTAGCGGAGTGTGGGCGGGGCCCGTATCTCCTAGTTAGCGGACTATAGGCGGGGACCGTATCTCCATGAGTGTGGGCGGGGCCCGTATCTCCTAGTTGCATGTTATATGTGTATGGTATGTGGTAGTTTGGGGGGGGGGGGGCTCACTAAGGTTCGTGCTTACGGTTTCAGTTTTGGTTTCAGGTACTTCCACTAGCAAAGGGAAAGACTCGGGATGATCGCATGGCACACACCACAGTCTTCAGCCTGGGAGTTTCACTCTGATATTTTGTTATGATACATATATGAGACAGATTTTATGATATGTTATGATACATGATCCACGATTTTTATTTATGATGCTGGATGGTTTATGATTTTATAATGATTGAAAATGAAATTTTTGGGCCGTATTTCTGGGATGTTTTATTTATGTATTTAAACAGATACTTTATAGAAGATCCTTGATTGCACCATTCAACATTAATATGTGTCTGATATCTTTTTAATAGATATTTGTTGTATGGAACAACATTTCTATTATCCAACTTGACACCCGACTTTTCTACAAAATGACCACCGTTTCTTCTCCTATATAACGGAAAACCATTTTGATCAACAGACGAATGATTACAGAATTGTTTTGGAAAGTTTTTAGAGCACTTCTTATCCACCATGCATGGACAATTGATATTTTCAGCTCCACGTGGACAATGAATCATGAACTCATTGACAAGTGAATACAATTCTGGCTCTTCAATTTTGTTAGGTATCTCGGCGGAAATTATCGGATCGATAAATTCAACAGTGGGTAACTTGTTGTCAGAATGCATAAATAAACATATATGACTATGTGGCAAACCTCGTTTTTGAAATTCAATGGTATAAACATCTGCAAAATATTTGGCAAAAAAACAAAATATGATTAGACAATAAAAAGATATAAAAAATATACTATAATAAGAGTAATGTTTTATAAATAATGAAAAAATATGAATTTAATTACATGCTTGAACTTTGCCAAAAATTTGATTCTCCCTTAAGTCTTTAATAAATGCATCGAGCTTGATCTTGAACAACCTACATAATATATCAGGCCTGTCTTCCGGTTGAAGTGAAGTATCCTTAAGAAACCTTTTAATCTCTGGCCATTTGAGATTACACGTAAAGGTTATAAAAAATCTGGATATCTAAACCATTTACATAGTGACATGGCATCCAAATAGTTTTGCAACATATATCGTGCGCCACCAGTAAAGGACGAAGATAATATGACACGCTGGCCGACATTGGAGATATTAGTGGTTCCTTGAGCTTTTTGGTTACGTAAATTCTCATAAGACTCGCATCTAAGAACATGTTGTTGCCTGCGTATGTAATGCAATCTCTCCATTTCCATCATAGTATATGCATCTACCAGAAACTGTTGAAACAACCTTTTTGAATTAAGAATGAGTGAGAACGAATGATCTATATCTTGAATTCTAAAAGCGAAATATTCTCTCATTGTACATTTCGCCCACTTGCTGTTGGTCATAAATGTCACACCTCTATGAAGAATGTCAACACTGTAACCATCATCCCCATATGGAAATAGCAGTGGATATTGAAGAGGAAGGTATGAAGGATGCAATTCACTGATACGCTGTAGAAATCCAGTTTTTGTTTGAACAACAATATCCCTCTTTTCAATTGAATCACAAATGTCACCGACAATTAAAGCGACAACCTCAGAAGCAGTCAGTGGGTTATATGTTCTTCCATCTCGCTCCCTTCTCCCGATAAATCGTAATTGCATATCAACTTGATGATTTTTCTGAAAAGTATCTCTTACCATTCTATAAGATCTAACCAACACATTATTTGAATCCAACATCACCTTAATATCTTCAATAATATCACTATCAATTGCTGTTGATTGATCTTTTTCCCCACTAAAATAAATAAATTTATGTAACATCCAAAATTTTACGCCAAATTTAAACTTTTCAAGCATAAACAAAACCAAATATTAATTGTTTACAAAAGTGTTTTCAATTCATTATTCAATCAGAGTGTCCCAAAACCCAGATCATAAGTATAAGGAGCGGTACGGTCACGCCTTCGCCTTGCCATGAACTCCTGAAGTACCTGAAACAATAAACTGAAAACTGTAAGCCCGAGGGCTTAGTGAGCTACCCCCAAAATTCCAATATCACATTGATAATACCATATCCGTAATAATCAATCAATCAACATGCATACTGAGCCATCGGCCTGACTGGACCGCCCTACAGGGCCTACGGTCCAACTGAATCTATACCGAGCCTTCGGCATGACTGGACCGCCACGTGGGCCTACAGTCTTCCCGGACCGCTCATAGGGTGTGTTGGCCTTCAGCACAAAGCAGGACCGCCTCAACCCAAGCAACAAGCAAATAACCATGTGCGCATAACTAACATTTACTGGCATATACAAACATCGAACATATTTATCTCACTGATTACCAAACATAGCAATCTCTCATAACTAGAGCACTGACCTAGCAGGTCAATAACATATCAATCCCTACGGATCATAAGAGCATAACATACCGTCTATCCTGATTATGATCTAACAGATCATATCCACATGTAGCATACCATAACGATAACAACTAAAGGGCCGACCTTGGTGCCTTAGACCCTATCGATATAGTGAGGATAACTCACCTTGCAGATGTCGACTCGGTAGATAAACTTCAACTATCGGATCAATGCCACAAACTCCACCACCTATTACCATAGTATAATCATACCCACAAGTTCCCAACCCTTCAAGTGTAACGCCCCGGTTTTTTCTCGGTACGTTTGGTTATTTTAATTTAATTATCCTTGTAACCTTGGGTTAATTTATTTAACCAATGTCTGATTTCTTATGTTATTGGACTCTTTTGATCATCTTGTAAACTCCTTTTTATTGAAGTCCATGGGCTATGGGCCTATTTGCAAGTCCATCTAGTAAATAGTACTTAATGTGTTAATTGAGTCATTTGGAACACACACAAGAAAAACACTCTAAACCCTCCATCTCTCTCTCAAATCGTCCTCTCTCTCTTTGGGATCAAGAGCAGCCAAGGGGCTGTTGTTTGGAGCTTAATTCTTGTTCATTTCCAGCCTTGATTCGTATTGGTATGAACCTCCTTATCATTTCTTACAACTTGATTCATAACCTTGTTCTAGTTTTATGATTTCATCTTCACTTCTTCTCCTTCCTATTTGATTTGTAATTATATGTTATACATCATCTCAAGATCCTATCTTCACCCCATATATGGTGGATGATGGATCTAGGGGATTACATGTGGCAAAAGATCATGGAAACCCTAAAAGGGAGAATGGTGATTTTATGTGCTTTATGTTCATTTTCATGTTGATTATTATTACAATCTTGTGGCAAAATGAAATCCTAATGATACCTAACCCTTTTTAGTACCACCATGATCATGGGGACTAAATTGGGATGATGAACACATCTTAAAATGTGTTTCAAAGGGAGAAGGATGGATAAGCCAAAAAGGAATCACGGGTGGCTACAATTCTGTTTTCCATCAGATCTGTAGTCATTTTGTAAAATTCATATCTTGAGCTCTAGAACTCAAACGGACCCCAAACCAGTTCCAAAAGTTCATAAATTGAGTTGGCTAACTTTCTTAAGCAGGCCAACCTCACTGATAAGGACTTTATCTATGGGAAAGAATGGCATATTTTATGTTAGGTCTGATCTGGGTCTGTTCTGATATGTCATTTTGTTTTCATCATTTCTAAGGCTTGGAAAAGGATCCAGAGTGATTCCAAGTTTCTATATGTTCCTTATATTATGAATTTAAGATCTGGAGCAGATGGGGTGTTATTTCCAATTATAAATTGGTTAGAATGGATCCACACTCCAGATCAGTGGGCAGTCACCAGCTTTTGCTAGTGCTGTGATTGTCCACAATGTGAATTTTATATCTGGAGTTTGGGAGATGCTTTTCATTAAATTCCAACTCTGAGACTTTTATTTGTATGTCCTTTACTTCTCTGAATTTTGGTTTGGACGAATTCTACTCACAAGTTGGGTAGAATTGGCCAAACATCACTTGACTGTATTGTTGGACACAGAAGTGATACACCATTTTGTAAAATTCATATTTAATTCATCTTTTGGAGTTAGAAGGAGTTCTTTATAGTTCTGGAATCCTAAACAACCATAGTTTCCTATAAAATTTTGTTAAAGCTATGTTTCTGTTTTATATTTTGGAGTAAATCCGTTTTGAACAGCAGGTCTGTTTTAGAGACCTTGCTGTGATTACTCTTTTCTCAACTCATAGCTTCATTACTTCTCCTTTCTAACCTTTAGTCCTTCTTAGGTGAGGTTTTGAAGTTTGCTCAAGCTTGGTAGCATTATTTGATTGTTAGCTATCCTCACTACTCACTCAAGGTGAGTTCTCTCACACCGTTGTATTGATGTTTGCGTTTGCTAGTTAGCTCGTGTGTGATTATTTGAATTTATTATAAAGGCATGCTATATAACCATTGTTTTAATTCGTACATGTGCACTGTATGTAACTAATTATGGATATGGGGACACCACCAAACGATACAGATTTACCGGTGCGGTGGGTAGGTAATATCACCAACGTAATACTCATCATGAGGTGCGGTGATTAGGGCCAAATGATACGGGATCTTTCCGGTGCGGTTCAAACCTACAAGTCCTTCTTGTATTATAGGCATTGATTCGTTCTTTGCCCTTATCATATAATTATAAATGGAAAATGGATTAGGGTTAGTAAATATGAATGTTAGTACAATGTCTGTGTTTGAATTCACTAAGCTTTGTGCTTACGGTTTCCCTTATAACTTTTCAAGTGTTAAGATTAAAGAGGCTAAGGCTTGACATGGAGCACCGGGACATCGCTACTAGTTATTTTTGTTGGGACCTTATTATTATTATTATTATTACTTCTGCACTTATTTTATATGATTATTAAGTTGATGGATTATGTTATGACTATTTCAGTTGTTTTAATTTAATTTAACATGCGTTTTAAAAGTTTAAAATTTTTGCAAAAAAAATTTGGGTGTCACATCAAGGTACCCCTTAAGCCAACTAATCAAACCCTGGTCAAAGTCAAAGTCATCAGTCAAGGTCAATAGTCCATGTTGACCTTGACTCGCCGAGTACCCCCGGCTACTCGCCGAGTTCCTTGAAGTACTAACCCACTCGCCGAGTCACCTGAGTGACTCGTCGAGTTCCTTTGGTTTACAATCGAGACCCTAAGGCCACTCGTCGAGCTTCCTTCTTGCAACTCGACAGTTACCAGCGCATACATGAGTTGGGGCAACCTCATCCGACTCGCCGAGTTGTTCATCCACTCGTCGAGTCTACGGCAATTTTCATTAGACTCGCCGAGTTGTTCTTCCAACTCGCCGAGTTAATGCCTATCTTCATATGACTCGCCGATTCGACCATGCGACTCGCCGAGTCCCTTCAGTCCTTTTTGCCATACAGACTCATTTGAGCCATGCAGCGGCTCCAAACTACAGATCCAAGCTTCTAAGGCATGCTTTTCACGTAAAGTTGCAAACTTTACGTGCATGCATAGCTACAAAGGCTCTTAATGTCAAATCCTAGCTTACAATGGGGGTTTCATGTTCAAAGAGGTTTCATTCACGCCCAAACCAAAAACTTTATGACTCTAGGACTTAGGAAGGGTCCAGATCTGAAGTTACAACTTCAGATCTAGCCCATAGTCCACCTTATCAACTCAAAGATCCATAAAAGCCCCAAACTCAACCAAAAATAGATCTAGAAGGGAAAAGAAGTAAAG